AGGTTGTAGCCTCGTTCCTATTCCTATCGATTGTTTTTCTTTAATCTTGGTTCCGGTGAAAGTGCCATGATCCTAAAGAGGAAGTCAGTAATACCAGCCGGTAACATTGATAAACACACCAAGGCCTTAGCATCCAAGCCAATAACGTAACGTGTCTGTGGATTGCGTGACGTAAGGGCGTGGACGACACTATTGACTACTTTGTGTATGTGCGGCGAGGCTACAGAGTCAAATAACTTTAAAGATACCAGACCTGCAAAAGAAAAAAAAAAAAAAACAAAGTTCAGAAAGTAAAGTTCAGGATGGAGTGCACCAGGTATAGAAAAATCCATTGCACTTTGTTGTATTGGAGCCAAGACAATGTTTTTCGAAACACGGCACATTACCTTTCTGAAGTCCTTCCTGGCCGTATTCTTGCTTCATTTCCTCACTTAGCCCGTCCCACATAGACTGCCACTGATTTATCAGCACATCTCCACTGACTAATTTAGTTTTGTGAGCTCCAGCCTCAATGATACTCACATTTACCCCCCAGGGGCGCGTTTCGCGCCTTAGAGCATCCGAGAAGGCTTCAACTCCATACTTGGAGATAGCATAGGCAGTCATATAAGGAAGAGTTATTCGACCTATGAGAATAAAGAAAGATAATTCAACTAGAGACCTGTTGTGCCTTGCGTAAAAAAAATGCTTGGGTGACCGCTAAATACAGGTTCGACTCTTAATTCTTGACCATGATTTGGACCAGAATGGTTACAAGGTCATCATTCTTGGGTTTAAGTTTACAGCGAGTCTAGTCACTCGCGACTCACCCAATATACTTCCTACGTTGAGTACGCGTCCGCGTGCTTTTTTGATCAGCGGCAGAAAGGTTTTAGTGACGTACATCATTCCCCAAAGATTTACATCTACAATTTCTTTAAAACTTTCCAGCGGCTGCCACTCGATCATGTCCACCGTCAGTTTTCCAGCGTTGTTTACCAGTCCCCACAATCCTGTGGAGATCAACAGATTCACCAGTATGACATTAGAAACGTTGTTTAAAATTCTGGTGCATTATTTTGTGACTAATCATAAATATGATTTTTTTTTTTTTTTGTCAAGTCCAAGATAACATTACTAGCTGTCAACCACCTTCACGCTACGCCTTCAAGCTGGGTCGCTTGGCTTTATTCGGTAAATATCAAGTCTAAACCTAAAAAAATTAAGGTAAAGCGACCCAATCTACAACGGTGATATGGATAGCCTGCAGAAAAATTCCCATTTTGTTTGCGTTTTTTCAGGCGATCGGAGGCAAGTGCGAGGCAAGCGCGAAACGAGCGCGAGTCACGCGCGAGGGATGGAGCTCGAAAAAAAGTAACGCCAGGCCTGTCCTGTAGGTTACATTACGCAATGCATCTAAAGATGTTTGTTGTCTCTCGAGATCCTACAGTCTACGACGACATGTGACAAGTACAAATGTTTCAGGTCCGAGTGGTACTTGGTGTTCCTTGTACCAGCCAGGTAAAAGTCTCCTTCTTTCGACCGTATAGAAACTTGTATTTCAAGTGAATAAATTTTATACAAAATAGACAGTTGCGTGACGTCATTCAACGACGTATTGATTAAAATTTGTTGCCTATCTCTTCCGTGTTTTATCAGTAATATATCTATTCTTCGGATCGATGGCGACCCGGTTTTCAAGTAAGCAAGAGTGAAAGGGAGTCTTGGTGCCGTTATTCAAAAAACCAATCTGCTGTGATTAGTATGCACTTTGCGCTAAGAAACTCTTGAAAAGCAAAACTGGAATAAATTTAATAGGTAATTAACTTCATCTTATGCCCTTAGCGTAATCAATAATCTACTCACCGTATTATTTGTGTGTAAGCTGTATACATCTGTTTAAAGTTATCTGGAAAATGTGCTTCTTTTAAAACAACCCTAACTGAATTTATCTTCCAAAATTTAGTTAAATTTGATTTAATTCGACAAGAAAAGTTGCAACTAAAGCCAGAGTAAAACCGAAATTGAATGCTCATTAAATCACTGGATATCGTCGCACAAAATATTGGTTTGATTTAGCTTTTTACAATTTTAAATGATTTTTCAGAAATTCATGTACAGAGCTTATCTAAACGAGAATTGAAAATATCATCATTGCGTAAACAGACAGCAATTATACCAGACAAGTTCTAGACAGCGATGTCTATATCTCCAAGACATGTCTGTTACCGTAGCTCTTTTCATCCCTTCTAAAGATACGTATTATTGACAAGTTCGATTTATTTCCGGCTCTTGGCTGGATTACAAGGAAAAGTATCCATGAAGAGTAAATCGTCCGTCTGTTCTCTGAGTATGACCTCCGATGTATTTAAGAGATAAGATTGACACTCGCTCAGTTAAGACTTGACACGAAACAGAAGGACGTTATCGAAATTCTTATCCTCGAATTACCTTCATCCGCCGGAATCTCGTTCTTAATGCTTTCAAAAACCTCTTGAACTTGACTGATATTCGTAACATCCATGCAATATGTCTTTACCCTGTCACTGCAAATGGCCTTCACTGATTCCTCCCCAGATTTAGTTCTGCAAGTCGCAATCACGCGGAATCCCAGCTGATCTAATCGCAGCGTGATCTCCTTGCCGAATCCCGACCCGCATCCTGTTATCAGAACGTATTTATTCTTTAATCCTGCGATTTTCTCCTCATCTCCGCGAAGAGACAGGAAAATCCATCTTAAGATGTAGTATGTTGTTGCTAAACCTAATACCACAAAAGACAACGTCACTATTGCCGACGCCATTTGACCATCGTGGAGACAATGATGGCTGGTTTCAAAGGGGTGAGAGGGATAGCCTAGCTGGGGAACGCGAAGCACGAATCGCGCAG